CTATTTAATCTCTTTTTAACTTTTGTATTATGTGTTTCTTTTAATGTTGTACGCCGCCCTGAGTTCTTGGGAGAAGGGCGGCATATAAATCGAATAAACCTAAAACCTAAACCTAAATACTGTACATGATTCTGGTTGAAGAGTTGAAAGTAACTAACTCCCAGTCATGTAATCAGCAGCTGAGTAAAAATAAATCTACCACCATCAAATCAACCTAACAGGTTTTGCCACACAGCTGGATCCTTGATGACAAAACCATGTCTTTAAGGCCAGCAGGGTTAGCATCAATCTAATCTCAGTTGGGGGCGGGGGCAGGGGAGGAAGGATTTAAAGGGCAGCATGTGATTCAGAGCACATGTTTACAAGTGTAGCAGCTAAAAGCAGCTGACATTCCTCACTCACTTGGCTGTCTTTTGCAGTGAATATGCAATTGCAGGAGAAGACCTCTTTGCTTTAAGATGTTCAGAACAGAAGCTATAGGTGCGCCCATGTGGCATCTGAATCACACTTTGCCCTTTGAAGTTGGATATTTGCCCAATATATATGGATACTTCTTCATATCTATCTATGGACCTGCTCTACAAACCAGACAGTACCTGCCCTCTTCGGCATCCGGTGGCTTCTGTGAAACGTTCTAATAAGGCACACGATTTTGGAACACTGTTGCAGGCATTCTCATTTTTTCTCCCTAGAGTGAAAAGAGGAAAAATATGGTTTAAGCATAGGTAATCTGAATTTCACCTCCCCCCCACAAAAAAAATCTAAGTATAGTCATACTGGGGATTTGAAAATGTCAGCTCAATAGGCGCTTGAAAGAGATTTAAACGTGTAATCATCCAAAAATCCAGGGGTGATTAACTCTAATCGAATTGGCCTCTGTATCCAAGTATAGAAGTGCAATACTTTTGTATTTCTTTTTATACAGAATATAACTCATACTCCACACTCATTACAGTTAGCATCCATCTATCCAGAGACGGATAACTTTTTTTTCTTTGAAAATAATTTTGCTTTGGCACAGATTTAATGCCAGGCTGTCTACTACTTTATATGATATGTCCTAATATCTATGGATAGTTCATAATAAATTTTCACTGAACCTAGAGAAAGGTATTGCACACTCCTTCACAAAATTCCTGCTTTTATTGAATTGAGAGGGCAGCATTGAAGAGCTATTTGAATATTGCATAAAATCTAGTTGCAGGATCAAGACTATAGATAAGAACAAAGTTTCCTGAGTGACTTTGGTCCAGTTTTGCTCTCCCTTCCATGGTCTCTCTTACCGCTTAATTTGCCTTGGTTAGTTTTGTGAAAGAGGATAATGTTTAGTTCCCTAAGGAAATGCAAAGAAGGATTTCATAAAAATATAAGTGAAATTCTGTGTCTTTTTATAACAGTGGTGATGGGCTCATGCTTTGCGGAATATTAATCTTCTAAACCGAATATTATGACCAACTAAAATAAAGTTTTATTTTAATTTTTTTTAAATTTTTTATGTTAAACACATAAACACATCAACAAAAACAAACACATGACTTAAAACAACATAGGAACAAGAGGTTCCATCATATATCATACAGCAGTTCCGTATCGGTTTCTTTACAGTTAGTGTTTTCTCTTCTATAGTTTTCCATCTTGCATTCATGGTCCCCTTAATCGTTATCCATTTTTATGTACTATTCTGTATTTATTTATACCTAGCTATTTATAACAAAATATTGTTTAC